TGTAATTTCTGCTGGGTTTGGATCTTTGATCAACATAACGTCTTGTATGAACGTAAAATCTATAACAATTATCCATATACATTAGTACAATTACTTACGAGTTCTTTGAATGAAAGTGGTTTTGTCATTGTTTCTGCACCCACCAATAATGAATTTCTTAATGAATTCAAATTGTGGAAAGATGAACTTATAAACAGCGGTTATGACAACGATGAGTTTAATGAGTGGTGTAAAATGCGTGGATATGATTATCAAGATCCCAAAATTAAACCAGTCTTGGAAGAATTAAGGTACTGGACTAATTCTTATCCTTTAGAGTTAGATATATGGCATAGGACAAAAGGACTTGATTTACAAGAAAAATTTTCAAGCTATATGAAACGTCGAAAAAATGAAATAGAAACTCAACATGTAATGTTTCGAGCTAATTTAACTAGGGAGAAAAAGAATAATCTCAATAAATGTATTGTTACCATGATTCTCGAGGCCAGTAAGGCAAGTAACATTAAAGATGGCTTAGATCGACAATTTATGCATGATGCAGAGATTCCGATCCTTAATGATCAAGGAAATAGAATTGATATGGTTAAAACATATGTTGCTATCCATCCTATTGCTAAAATGGCCATCAGAAATTCTTTTGACGATAAAGGGTTTAAAATTTTTATTCATGATGTTGCATCGTCGATTTTCATGGGTAATTATACAAACAATGTCAAAAGAAGATTTGTGGTGTTATATATCACGACTCTATTGGAAAGTCAAAAAGAATTTGCATTTGAGATCATGTAAGTTATGGTCACAATTTTTAACATTTATTTTATCATTTTGGACTTTGAAATATGTAACATGTTAACATTTTATTTAGAAAACCAGGAAAAAAACAAGTGTATAAGATAAAAAATAAAACATTGAACGTTGTCGAAAAATTTGTTGGTAACAATATACCTCCCAATAATTTTAATCTGAAACTCACTACCCTTTTCCTACCAATGTCACCTAATTATTCTGGTGCAGACTTTCTTATCTGGGATTCTGAAGGAAAGATTTTATATGCATTTCAGATTACTATTAGTTCGCCTAATGATCATATGGAAAGTAAGAAAAAATTTATGACAGGAAGCTTGATAGGTAAATGGGTATCCATGTGTGATATAGTAAGAAAAGATGTTAAATTTGTTTGGATTGCTCCTGATAGTGTTCTTGAAAATAGTACAGATTCTTTGCATTTAACATTTTCACATATCACAAACAGATTTCCAGCTTTAGATAATTTGAGATTGCTGTCTTAGTAAATATACATATAATATATTTTTCAAAAAAACTACAAGAATATTGTTTAATAAAATGCTAAATTGATTATCTATCTGATAATTAGCAATGTCGCATGTGGCGGGCGACTTCGTCGCCCGCTTGCAGTTTTTGATTCATTCATATTATAATAAATTTAAGTACAATATGTAGCTAACTTAGTAGATTTTAATTTCGATATTGTGATTGTCTCGTCAACGATGTGACGGAGCCAACATTATTGCGAGATCAAAAATGGCATCATGGTACATGGATTTGTAAGCGTAAGCGTAAGATGATATCATGCTTAATTATGTGAAAGCTGGTATATATGGGAAAACTTTGCATTAGGGAGATTTCACCTTTGGTTTCACTATTGCCCACCTTATGATATTAGGCTGGCTTCGTCGTAGACATAGTACTTCGATAAGACACATTCATATATCTGATATACACAAATGAGAGTTAGCAATCTACTATTAACATGTGAGGGTAGTGTAAAGTAGTACAGACCAAGATGTCTAACATAGCAATACTTATTAGGATCTTGTGGATGGTGAACTATGCTGAAATAGGGTGCAGAAGAACTTTGGTTAATGTGCAAACCGATCATCAAAATGGCATAGAAGAAATCAATTAACAGGCTACTTGAACCTGGACGATCGAATGAGATTCTAGTAAGACATTTTGGCAAACTGAACTGGCAATGCAGAATGGAATTCACGATCATTAAGGTACTATAGAAAAAAGGTGTTAGTTCATCGAGATAGCAGAACGTGTCATGGCAACGGTTACG